ACACACACACCCACACATGCACATTCATACACACACACACACACACACACACATACACACACACACACACACACACACACATTCACTATTGAACACACTACCACGAACCCAAACACGTAAACATACGCACTAAGACACTTACAAGCACATACATATACACACTGTCACACATGTAATCACTTGTGAATACTCTTACACTCACACGAACGCACAAACACTCACACAAACACTCACACATGAACAGGCAAAAACCACATTTTTGTTCATGTCCTTTATTTGTACCGGTACAGGTGTGCCACCTGGTGAACACCTCCCTGGTGCCCATGGTGTTCCACCTGCGTGTGCCTGGAGACGGCATGAACAAAAGCGTGTGCTGCACCCACGATATCGAGAAGACACCCATGGAGCAAGGGCCTGTGCCAATGCATGACCCAAGAGAGTTTGAAATCATTCCATCAGAAGGGGTTATCCCACCTCAGAGTGAGATCAAGGTATGAAGGTGTTCTTTGTGGCTTCATGAAGCTTCAATTTTTTACCTGTCCATATATTTTTTTCAAAAGTGAAACATTTCTTGGAGTATCCATGGCATAGTGTTGTGCTCACTTCAGGATAGAATTATTTGGATTTGAGTCGTGCCCTTAAGTTTTTAGCTTGAGATTTTCCAGTTGCCCTATCAAGTAGAATTATTTGAATGATTTGAATGTAGAGCATGACTGTGAAGTCTTTTGACGAGAATATTTATGTTTTCTAGGTGCATCAAATGGGTTTTTAAAAATTGCGGTTAGCGTCATGATCAGTATCAAGAAACCTTGTGATGAAAATGTTTAAAAATATCTTTTCATAAAGAAAATGTTCATCAAGAATTGTAGATAGAATAATAAACTGCTTGTACTCTCGCGTAATGAGTTAAAAGGCCCCTCTTCCCCCCCACCAGGATCTATGAACAAATTTCACCAGAGTATTGTGAGGAAAGATTTGTTGCCATGAATTTTTTAAAAGTCAGGTGCCTGTCTCTCATTTTTCATGTCTGTGCTATGTCAATGACCACAGGTCACCGTGAACCTGGTTCCCAACACAGTGAAGAAGTACGAGGCTGCACTTGTCGTGGATGTGGAGAGAGTGGGAGAGGAGATCATGACTCTGCCCATCTCAGCCAAGTGAGTGCTTTGTTCAGATTTGGGTCTATTGTTTGTCTTTGCTGGCAGTCTTCAACTGCTCCTGCTATGTTGACTCATGCAATTGTCCTTTATGTAAAATGCCAAGACAACATGTGAAAGTAGATGAATGAAAACAAGGTTAAAGACAAGGAATTAAGTGATATGATATTCTGTCCAAAGTTTGAGAAATGGTCCCTGTCTTTGTGCTGACACCTTGGATTTGTAGGGTTTTTTTTGTGGAAGCAACAAATTCTCAGTAAAAAGTAGATAATTGCATCTCTAGTGTTCCCCAACTTCTAAGAAAGGAACTGCAAATGCTTTTGTCTGGAATCTCATTTTGGTATGTCATATTCTTCATGCTTACTTCTTTCATTCACTGTCTCTATTTATTAGGGAGAGTAAGTGTGGTATTTGTTTTGTTTCTGCAACCAAAACAAATCTCTTTCTATTCCCTACTAGATCAATGGTCCCAGTGATCAGCAACCTGACCCCTGTCCTCAACTATGGCCGCTGCTTCCTGCGTCACCCATACGAGCACCGCATACGTCTCCATAACGACACTGAGCTGGCCGCCAAGTATGAGATTGTTCCACAAGAGGTGATCACCAAGGATAACGCACCCATCTCCTACCAGAGTCCCCAGCCAAAGGTCAGTTTCTGGGAAGAAACAACTGATGTGTGTTCTTGTGTGAGTGGAAGTGATTGTGTGTAAGATTGCGACTCAATGTAAATGTGTGCGTCTGTATCTGTATGTCTGTGTGCATGTTCATGTATTCATTTCCATTTTCTATGGTGTTTTCAAAAGTGAATGTGTATGTGATTCAATGAGTGTGTGTATGTGTTTATGTATGTATGTGTGTGTGTGTGTCTGTATGTATGTATGTGTTTGCTTGTGCATATGTGTGTGTGTGCGTGTTGAGTGAGTAAATGTTTTTACACATTCATATTCACGTTGTCAGTTCATGTGAATTCATTTGTTGGTCCCATTATGGACAAAGACAAAACAATTATCACTATCTTAAAAGTTTGGTGGGGATTTTTTATAGTTTTTTAAAAAAGAAACTGGAATTCCCAGGGTTGGAGGTTTGCATTGTATCTGTTGTATCTATACTCTTGGAACTTTGATCAGCATGGGTTGGTACTGCAAGTAAACAGTAAGCAGGCTTGTTTGGTCTGCTCCTTCTGTCTCTTGTCGTAATCTCTTCAGGGCAAAAATGTCACCATTATTGAACGGACTCTTTTTAAAATTAAACTCAAAATTAATGCACAAGTGTATATATTCAGAAACTGGATGGATGATAAAAATTCCAAGTGTCATGTTTGAAACTTCTGTTGCAACACTTGCATAATGATACATACTCTTTCTTTATCATCATCTTTGTATTCATCTTTCTGCATTGTTAGTTTGTATCATTTGACAATCTGGCTGCTCAGTGTAAGACCCCTTCAACATTACTTTTCCAAATGGTGTATGGTGGAGTCCCACACGAAGCAGTTGAAATCTGCTTTCTCTCCAAGCAACATGTTGTGCTATTTCTAAAACATGTAACAATACTGTGCAGTAAATCTTATGTGTGGGTGGTTGGCGGGTGCTCTGGTGTGGTTTGCTCCTTCTTTCCTGTCATACATCTTTCGTCCTGATCTCTCCTCCTTCTTTTTTGTATATGTTACTCTCTTGTAACACCACTAATCTTCGGCACTTACATGACCTTATTGTGTTGCAAGTGCCGTAAAACTCTTACTAAAACTGAAACTATAAAAAAATCTTATGTGTGCCTTTTTGTTCTGTAGGGTATTATTGCGCCCCATTCTGTGGCTGATGTCCCCTTGTTGATCAAGGCCAATGCTCTGGAGGAGCAGGAGGTCCCGTGTCTGGTGCAAATCTTTGGTAGCCAAGACCTGCCCATTGTAAGTGTCGGTGTGACAAAGCTTTTCTTTGCTTCATTGCAGGAGAGATCTAAAATGTGTTGGCTAGAGGAAATACTCCGATTTCCATTGTGCCGAGAGCTGAATTTGAGAGGGTTTTTTTTACAGGGAGCTGTTGGCTTGTTTTTTTGGGGGGTTTTTTGGTG